GTAGTGCCCTTGGGTAAGAAGCCCAGAGAGGGCTGTGGTGCCCTTGGGCCCAGAAAGGCCTGTGGTGCCCTTGGGTAAAGAAGCCCAGAGAGGGCTGCTTGGGAAGGAAGCCCAGAAAGGGCTGTGGTGCCCTGAGGCCCAGAGAGGGCTGTGGTGCCCTTGGGCAAAGCGGCCCAGAGATGGCTGTGCCGTTTGGCCCAAAGAGGGCCAGGGCTGCCCATGCATAAGGAAGCCCAGAAAGGGCTGGGTTGCCCTTGGGCCCAGAGAGGGCTGTGGTGCCCTTGGGTAAGGAAACCCAGACAAAACTGCAGTGCCCTTGGGTAGGGAGAGGGCTGTGGTGGTCTTGGGTAAGGAAGCTCTCTGGAGAGGGCTGTGGTGCCCTTGGGTGAGGAAGCCCAGAAATGGCTGTGGTGCCCTTGGGCCCAGAGAGGGCTGTGGGTAATGGGTAAGGAAGAAGCCCAGAGAGGGCTGTGGTCCCCCCGAGAGAACGCACTCATAGACCTGGCTGGCTAGGAGCCCCGAGGCACCTCCCAAAGCCAAAGGGCCTTCAACACGCAAGGGCGCGAGATTAGGTCTTCTCGCGGGTGCAAGTGAAGCCAGAAATAGAGTGAAAGGCTTCTCCTGTGTGGTCTTGGGTAAGGAAGCCCAGAGAGGGCTGTGGTGCCCTTCAGTAAGGAAGCCCAGAGAAGGCTGTGGTGCCCTTGGACCCAGAGAGGGCTGTGGTGCCCTTAGGTAAGGAAGCCCAGAGAGGGCCGCTTGGGTAAGAAGGCCCAGAGAAAGCTGTGGTGGCCTTGGGCCCAGAGAGGGCTGTGGTGCCCTTGGGTAAGCAAGAGAGGGCCGTGGTGCCCTTGGGCCCAGAGAGGGTTGTGGTGCCCTTGGGTGAGGAAGCCCAGAGAGGGCTGTGGTGCCCTTGGGCCCAGAAAGGATTGTGGTGCCCTTGGGTAAAGAAGCCCAGAGAGGGCTGCTTGGGTAAGAAGCCCAGAGAGGGCTGTGGTGCCCTTGAGCCAAGAGAGGGCTGTGGTGCCCTTGGGTAGAAAGCCCAGAGAAGGCTGTGGTGCCCTTGGGCCCAGAGAGGGCTGTGGTGCCCTTGAGTAAGGAAGACCAGAGAGGGCTGTGGTGCCCTTGGGCCCTTGGGTAAGGAAGCCCAGAGAGGGCTGTGGTGCCCTTGGACCCAGAGAGGGCTGTGGTGCTCTTGGGTAAGGAAGCCCGGAGAGGGCTGTGGTGCCCTTGGGCCCAAAGAGGGCTGTGGTGCCCTTGGGTAAGGAAGCCCAGAGTGAGGCCGTGTGCCCTTAGGGCCCAAGAGGAATGTTTTGCCCTGGGTAGAAGCCCATAGAGGCTGTGGTGCCCTTGGGCCCAGAAGGTGTGGTGCCCTTGGTAAAGAAGCCCAGAGAGGGCTGCTTGGGAAGGAAGCCCAGAAAGGGCTGTGGTGCCCTGAGGCCCAGAGAGGGCTTGTGGTGCCCTTGGGCAAAGCGGCCCAGAGAGGGCTGTGCCGTTTGGCCCAAAGAGGGCCAGGGCTGCCCATGCATAAGGAAGCCCAGAAAGGGCTGGGTGCCCTTGGGCCCAGAGAGGGCTGTGGTGCCCTTGGGTAAGGAAACCCAGACAAAACTGCAGTGCCCTTGGGTAGGGAGAGGGCTGTGGTGGTCTTGGGTAAGGAAGCTCTCTGGAGAGGGCTGTGGTGCCCTTGGGTGAGGAAGCCCAGAAATGGCTGTGGTGCCCTTGGGCCCAGAGAGGGCTGTGGTGCCCTTGGGTAATGGGTAAGGAAGAAGCCCAGAGAGGGCTGTGGTGCCCTTGGGTAAGTGCCCCCCGAGAGAACGCACTCATAGACCTGGCTGGCTAGGAGCCCCGAGGCACCTCCCAAAGCCAAAGTGCCCTCAACACGCAAGCCTCGCACACTCGGACCTCTCCGCTTAGGAGCCCCGACCCACCCGGAACCACTGAACGACAATATAGACAAAACTCCCGAGATTGCCACCTACCGACAACCCAAAGAAACGGACCCCTCGCGATTGCCACCTGCCGACAATCTGGACCCCCTCAGAATACCACAAACCGAAGATCCAAGGAAACCTGATGGTGGCCATCCCAGGGGAGCCGAAGTCAGCGAGTCAAACCACAACTGACACCGGGCCAGCTGCATCAAGGACTCCATGGCCTAACGGCCAAGGCGCTCCGGTCGAATCTCTGTGCGGGAATCCCGGAGAGATGGGTGGTTCGATTCCCCCTGGAGTCACTTCCCCCTTGCCACCTGTTGGCAATCTGTACCCCCCTAAGATTGCCACCTGTTGGCAATCTGTACCCCCCTAAGATTACCACCTGCTGACAATCTAAATCCACTGTGATTGCTACTTGTTGGCAATCTGTACTCCCTTAAGGTTCCCACCTGTTGGCAATCTGTACCACCCTAAGATTGCCACCTGCTGACAATCTAGATCGCCGGTGATTGCCACCCGTTGGCAATCTATACCCCCCCCCCTTAAGATTGCCACCTGCTGACAATCTAGATCTCCTGTCATTGCCACCTGTTGGCAACCTATACCCCCTCCCCCCCCGCTACGATTGCCGCCTTCTGACAATCTAGACCCCCTAAGATTGCCACCTGCCGGCAATCCATCAGGCCTGGCAAGTGGCAGCTAAGCACCAAAAACGCAGGTGTGATTGCCACCTGTTGGCAATGTGGCCCCCCCCCCCCCTTAAGATTGCCACCTGCTGACAATCTAGATCTCCTGTGATTGCCACCTGTTGGCAATCTATACCCCCCCCCCCTACGATTGCCGCCTTCTGACGAGGATGGGTGCGTGCGAGACGCTTGGAGCGCCTGCTGGCACAGTCCAAGTGGTCCCCCTTCAAGCAGAAAAAACCCCAGGGTGAGATGCTCGCACTCGAACCCCTCCGCCTCTGAGCCCCAACCCACCTCGCACCCCTGACACGTCGCAAGGGGGGACCCTCCCACGCCAGAAAAATCTCCCGAACCTAGGCAGAAACGCCCCCGAGAACCTTGACCTTCTTTCAAACAACAAAGACACCAAAACCGCAGCAATCCCTAAACACTACCAAAGCTTCAACCAAGAGCAGCCCGAGCAAACAGGGAGCACTCGTAGGGCCGACGACGAGTTCGAAGGCATAAGGAACGGCCCCCTCAAAGCAGTAAAACCACAAGCGCCCCCAAAGCCCAGCACTCCCTCAACAATAAGAAAGCCTCAATCTAGTCTAGCCCGAACCAACAGAGAGCAATCGCGGAGCAGACAACGGGGCAGACGACGAGCTTGAAGGCTTATGCAACGGCCCACTAAAAGCAGTGAAACCACAAGCACCCCCAAACCCCGGCAATCCCTCAACACTAACAAAGCTTCAATTTAACCTAGCCCAACCAACAGAGAGCAATCGCGGAGCAGACGACAACTTTTAAGGCTTAAGCAACGGCCCCCTCAAAGCAGTGAAACCACAAGAACCACCAAGACCCGGCAATCTCTTAACACTCACAGTGCTCTAAACCTAACTTAACCCGAACAAACAGAAAACATTCGAGAGGCAGACGCAACACTTTAGGACCTAAGGACCAGCCCCCCTAAAGCAGAGCAAGCGTTCGTGGGAGATGCTCGGGGCGCCTGTGAGCGCAGTCAACATGGACCCCCTTAAGGCAGAGAAAGCCTTCGGGTGAGATGCTCGCACTCGGACCCCTCCGCCTCCGAGCCCCAACCCACCTCGCACCCCTGAAACTTCGCGAGGGGGGACCCGGCCGCGCCAGAAAAAAGTTCAAAGGTTTCGATCCCCAACCCGGAAAAAGTGCCGAAAAACACGATTGTCAGAAACGGGCTTTTTTACCAAACCCCAGCAAACCCTTAACATTAAAAAAGACTAAATTTAGTCTAGCCCGAACCAACAGAGAGCAATCGCGGAGCAGACAAGGAGTTTTAGGGCTTAAGCGCCAGCCCCCTTAAAAGAAAGGGATGCAGCTGCTGGCTTCGCGTGAGATGCTTAGGGCGCCTGTTAGCGCAGTCTCAAAAAACTGCGCTGGCGAACCCTAAACCCTAAACCCTAAACCCTAAACCCTAAACTTTTAGGGGCTGCGCCCTTGTGCGCCAGCGCAGCATATTGTGGTTTTCATTCTAGGAAGCAACGTCAACAGAGATGCAAGCCCATTTACTTAAACCTTTGGAAGACTTGGGCCTTTCGTGGGGGGCTGGGGCTGGTGCTGGTGCTGGCGCTGGGGCTAGGGCACGCGTTCGCTGGGGCTGGGACCTGCAAATTTAACTTCGCTCGAAGCGAAGATGTGAAAACTTCCGATTCTACCAAGTCCATCCGCGAACCGATTTTGCGATTTGAAAAGAGGGTAGCTTTTGTGGATGAAGCTTTTGTGAGGAACTGGGGCTGGCCGGGGCTGGGGCTGGGGCTGGGGCTGGGGGGGGCTGGGGCTGGGTTGGGGCTGGGGAGCTAACCTCTGGGGCTGGGGCTGGAGCTGGGGCTGGCTGTTTACTGTTTACCCGCAAAGTTTCAAAACTAGGGACCAGGGCAGCCCCTTTTAAGAGGGAGTTGACCTGGGCGCCACGCTGCGCTGGCGAAGATGGGAAAACTTCCTACCAAACTCGGCCAACCAGGAAATATCGCAGAGGTTTGTACCAGAGACACCGAAATACGGGCTGAGGCTGGGGCTGGGTACGCGTGGCGGGACGCTTGGGGCTTGGCCTGGGATTATAGGGTGCAAATTCAACCACAAACCAATTGCGAGCAGAAGCTCGCTCGAAGCGAGAAATTTGAGAACATCCAAATTTGACCAATCAAATCCGCGAACCGATTCTGCGCATATGAAGAGATTGGAGGGCCGCGAACCGATTCTGCGCATATGAAGAGATTGGAGGGCGGGGCACCGCGGAGACTGGGCTGGGCAAATTCAACCAAACCCACGTGCGAGCAGAAGGATTAAATACCTTGATTGAAACTTCGCTCAAAACGAAGCTTTGAAAACTTCCCCGGAGAGCCAGTTCGCTTGTGTGGAGAGCCAGTTCGCTTATCCTGGGGACAAAGAAGGAGGACTTGCCGGAGAGCCAATTCGCTTATTGTGCGGAGAGCCAGTTTGCTTATCCTGGGTTCAAAGAAGGAGGAGAGCTAGTTCGCTTGTGCGGAGAGCCAGTTCGCTTTTTTTGGGGACAAAGAAGGAGGACCTGCCGGAGAGCCAGTTCGCTTGTGCGGAGAGCCAGTTCGCTTATCCTGGGGACAAAGAAGGAGGACCTGCCGGAGAGCCAGTTCGCTTATCTGGGGACAAAGAAGGAGGACCTGCCGGAGAGCCAGTTCGCTTGTGCGGAGAGCCAGGTCGCTTATCCTGGGGACAAAGAAGGAGGATTTGCCGGAGAGCCAGTTCGCTTGTGCGGAGAGCCAGTTCGCTTATCCTGGGGACAAAGAAGGAGGACCTGCCGGAGAGCCAGTTCGCTTGTGCGGAGAGCCAGTTCGCTTATCCTGGGTTCAAAGAAGGAGGACCTGCCGGAGAGCCAATTCGCTTGTGCGGAGAACCAATTTGCCTATCCTGGGTTCAAAGAAGGAGGACCTGCCGGAGAGCCAGTTCGCTTGTACGGAGAGCTAGTTCGCTTTTTTTGGTGACAAAGAAGGAGGACCTGCCGGAGAGCCAGTTCGCTTGTGCGGAGAGCCAGTTCGCTTATCCTGGGGACAAAGAAGGAGGACCTGCCGGAGAGCTAGTTCGCTTAGCTGGGGCCAAAGAAGGAGGACCTGCCGGAGAGCCAGTTCGCTTGTGCGGAGAGCCAGTTCGCTTATCCTGGGGACAAAGAAGGAGGATTTGCCGGAGAGCCAGTTCGCTTGTGCGGAGAGCCAGTTCGCTTATCCTGGGGACAAAGAAGGAGGACCTGCCGGAGAGCCAGTTCGCTTGTGCGGAGAGCCAGTTCGCTTATCCTGGGGACAAAGAAGGAGGACTTGCCGGAGAGCCAATTCGCTTGTCGTGGGTTCAAAGAAGGAGGACCTGCCGGAGAGTCAGTTCGCTTGTGCGGAGAGCCAGTTCGCTTATCCTGGGGACAAAGAAGGAGGACCTGCCGGAGAGCCAGTTCGCTTATGCGGAGAGCCAGTTCGCTTATCCTGGGGACAAAGAAGGAGGACCTGCCGGAGAGCCAGTTCGCTTATCTGGGGACAAAGAAGGAGAACCTGCCGGAGAGCCAGTTCGCTTGTGCGGAGAGCCAGTTCGCTTATCCTGGGGACAAAGAAGGAGAACCTGCCGGAGAGCCAGTTCGATTATCCTGGGGACAAAGAAGGAGGACCTGCCGGAGAGCCAGTTCGCTTGTGCGGAGAGCCAGTTCGCTTATCCTGGGGCCAAAGAAGGAGGACTTGCCGGAGAGCCAATTCGCTTGTGCGGAAAGCCATTTTGCTTATCCTGGGTTCAAAGAAGGAGGACCTGCCGGAGAGCCAGTTCGCTTGTGCGGAGAGCCAGTTCGCTTATCCTGGGGACAAAGAAGGAGGACCTGCTGGAGAGGTAGTTCGCTTGTGCGGAGAGCCAGTTCGCTTATCCTGGGGACAAAGAAGGAGGACCTGCCGGAGAGCCAGTTCGCTTACCCTGGGGACAAAGAAGGAGGACCTGCTGGAGAGCTACTTCGCGTATCCTGGGGCCAAAGAAGGAGGACCTGCCGGAGAGCCAGTTCGCGTATCCTGGGGACAAAGAAGGAGGACCTGCCGGAGAGCCAGTTCGCTTGTGCGGAGAGCCAGTTCGCTTATCCTGGGAACAAAGAAGGAGGACTTGCCGGAAAGCAAATTCGCTTGTGCGGAGAGCCAGTTTGCTTATCCTGGGTTCAAAGAAGGAGGACCTGCCGGAGAGCCAGTTCGCTTGTGCGGAGAGCCAGTTCGCTTATTTTGGGGACAAAGAAGGAGGACCTGCCGGAGAGCCAGTTCGCTTGTGCGGAGAGCCAGTTCGCTTATCCTGGGGACAAAGAAGGAGGACTTGCCGGAGAGCCAGTTCGCTGTATCTGGGGCAAAGCAGGAGGACCCTGACGGAGAGCCAGTTCGCTTGTGCGGAGAGCCAATTCACTTATCCTGGGGACAAAGAAGGAGGACTTGCCGGAGAGCCAGTTCGCTTGTGCGGAGAACCAGTTCGCTTATCCTGGGGACAAAGAAGGAGGACTTGCCGGAGAGCCAGTTCGCTTGTGCGGAAAGCCAGTTCGCTTATCCTGGGGACAAAGAAGGAGGACTTGCCGGAGAGCCAATTCGCTTGTGCGGAGAGCCAGTTCGCTTATTTTGGGGACAAAGAAGGAGGACCTGCCGGAGAGCCAGTTCGTTTGTGCGGAGAGCCAGTTCGCTTATTTTGGGGACAAAGAAGGAGGACCTGCCGGAGAGCCAGTTCGCTTGTGCGGAGAGCCAGTTTGCTTCTCCTGGGGACAAAGAAGGAGGACCTGCCGGAGAGCCAGTTCGCTTATCCTGGGGACAAAGAAGGAGGACCTGCCGGAGAGCCAGTTCGCTTGTGCGGAGAGCCAGTTCGCTTATCCTGGTGACAAAGAAGGAGGACTTGCCGGAGAGCCATTTCGCTTGCGCGGAGAGCCAGTTCGCCTATCCTGGGGACAAAGAAGGAGGACCTGCCGGAGAGCCAGTTCGCTTGTGCGGAGAGCCAGTTCGCTTATCCTGGGGACAAAGAAGGAGGACTTGCCGGAGAGCCAATTCGCTTATTGTGCGGAGAGCCAGTTTGCTTATCCTGGGTTCAAAGAAGGAGGAGAGCTAGTTCGCTTGTGCGGAGAGCCAGTTCGCTTTTTTTGGGGACAAAGAAGGAGGACCTGCCGGAGAGCCAGTTCGCTTGTGCGGAGAGCCAGTTCGCTTATCCTGGGGACAAAGAAGGAGGACCTGCCGGAGAGCCAGTTCGCTTATCTGGGGACAAAGAAGGAGGACCTGCCGGAGAGCCAGTTCGCTTGTGCGGAGAGCCAATTCACCTATCCTGGGGACAAAGAAGGAGGACTTGCCGGAGAGCCAGTTCGCTTGTGCGGAGAACCAGTTCGCTTATCCTGGGGACAAAGAAGGAGGACCTGCCGGAGAGCCAGTTCGCTTGTGCGGAGAACCAGTTCGCTTATCCTGGGGACAAAGAAGGAGGACTTGCCGGAGAGCCAATTCGCTTATTGTGCGGAGAGCCAGTTTGCTTATCCTGGGTTCAAAGAAGGAGGACCTGCCGGAGAGCCAGTTCGCTTGTGCGGAGAGCCAGTTCGCATATTTTGGTGACAAAGAAGGAGGACATGCCGGAGAGCCAGTTCGCTTGTGCGGAGAGCCAGTTTGCTTCTCCTGGGGACAAAGAAGGAGGACCTGCCGGAGAGCCAGTTCGCTTATCTGGGG